CTTCCCGCCTTTACTAAACCCTAGCCGCTTCCCTCCCCTTCCTCAAGCCGGCACAACATCATCCCCCTCCACCCGCCACCTCAACTCTCCCGGCAAGCATGAATGGCAGATCCGGAAGTTGATCACGGGCTTATCATCAATTCTCAATGGGAGATTGACGTCATCCGATCACCATTCTTTGATCCCGGATTTGGATCCGAAGGCACCGTCAAGGAATACGTTGATCATATCCTCCCCCACTTAGCGGACGTCATCGACGAACAAAAATCTATTGAAGAGTGGAAGATCACCGGACGACTACCCATTCCTCCAACTCCGATTCCTTCCCCGACGACTAGTACCCTCGGCATCGTGTGTCTTCTAGTGGCATCTCTAAGTTTGCTTGCAACATTCTTCTGCTAAGCCCATCACCTTCAAGAGTGTGAGTGATGGAGCCCAAGGTGAATGATCTAATTATTAAACTATGGATTTTGTTAACTTGTCATTTGCTTTACTCGTTTATTTGTTGTCGTTATTTTGCAAGAAGCCTATTAATCTCAATTGTAATCCATTGCCAGTGCTTAGTATTTCAATGGAATTTCTTAAGATCTAACTTGAAGAAGCATCCGTTTATATTTAGCCAAGTAAAGTTCACATTTTATTAATCTCCTATAAGCAATTCTTGTTCATCATCTTTGTTTCACATCATTAAATTTGTTAATTAGTTAATAGTGTGAATGAATTCAAAAGGTTTCCTATAAGAGTATTTTAAAAATTAAACGTGCTATAGGCATATACAGCATGGAAACAAATGCAAATTAGAAATTTTAGGAAGTTTTAGTATTAGTCCAATCTTGAATGTGAATGATTTGGCTTTATTTCAAGATGCCTTAGATTATTCTCTTTTTATCTTCTCAGTGACTTGAACCGAACACTATGTCAAAAAGGTCTACATATCTTGTTCCCAAAGCTATATAAGATGATGAAATTATGTAAACCATTGCGGGTGATATCTTGTGCATCGGTGTAACAAATTATTTTTATGATTCTTGGATGACATTGCTATAAGCAAAAATGCTTATGCAAAGAAATGTTTGATGAATATCAAATGTTAAATTCCTCAAGTAAAATTTTGTTCAAGTTGAGTAGATTTGATGAAGATTTGCAAGCTCATACTCATCAAAAAGATCAAAAAAGATAGCTATACTAAAAATTCCTTTTGATTTATTTCATTATTTCATATATATTTAGTAGTTTTAATTTCAAGTTAATTGCTTAAAGCCTTAAACATCTTTGTGAATTTGGATTTATAAGAACAAGAAGTTTTTTCTTTGATCATATTTTTTTATGGACCAATTTAAAATTTCATTTTGTTCAGTTTAGCAATTTGTTTCAATGATTCAAATCAATGTTTGTTGTTGGAACTTACAATATTCTGTATAATTGGTTTTGGAGCTATCAGTTACCAAGTTGCCCTCCAGCCATATGTGATTTCTTCAACTGTAGTATGACATCATTCCTATGGCAGCTCCACACAGCATTTATGTGCATGATACCCAGCTTCAAGCCTTATAGTTCTTATGCGCATACTTATGTTACTCTAGTTAGGAGACTCCATTGCATGTTATTTGTTCCATCGTTCATAGACAAAGCTTATCTTTGAGGCTCATATTGCTTCCACTATGCCCTCGACTGCTCTCAAGGAATCAAAGAGCCCCAAAACCTCTTTAGTGTAAATGACATCAAGGTCCCTAAGATTTACAGTGTGCTTCACTTTGGTCCATGTTTTTAAAAACCCTACATTTTGATGCATGAGATTGATTTAGCACTTCAAATAGTCCTAATGAGGCAAATCACCAGAAATTTTGATGTAATTATTATAAATTATCTCAACCAAAAAAATTTCCTTCACAAATAATGGCCACCAACATCAAAGATCATGTTTAGAATTCCATCAACACTTCGCAATTCATCATTATCACTAAGTACACATCAAGGCTTCTAGTGTTCAACTGAAGAGAAAAGGTAGCTGGAAAGTTCCATTTAGAGGCTAAGCAGCAATGTTAGCAAGTATTTCCTGATATCATTGTTTCAAAGAAGTTTTTAAATATATTTCAATAAAAAAAATTTCCCAAATCACAGCTTTTTTTTTTTTTCTATCAAATCTTATTGAAGAGAAATATTATAGCCCCATGTAAGAATTTGCACGATACATCTTCATCACAATCCACTATTTTGCTTAATGCTTCTTGACTGACGAATCTAGGATTTTGCCTTAAATGTATCTTCTCTTGCAAGTTATTTGTGAAACAATCCTCATTGTCTCAACATGTTTAGGTATTGTAATAAAGTTCCTCATAGGTATATAGGGTTATATTTTTTTCATTTTTGTTAAATACATAGAGAAGATTCAATTGATTTAATATGAAAAAGTGTGTTACTCTGTTATTAGGCTGGAAGCTATTTTTGTCAGTCAAAATATCTAGCATTCAACAAATTCCCATGTTTTTTATCACAGGAATGTACTTAACAACTAGTTTTAACTTTTAACGAACATTAAGTTGTAAGCGCAACATTGAAGTCCAAGAACTAAGCAAGAGGGCTTGAGAGAAATAACAAAAAGCACCACCCAAATATAAGCTCTCCAAAACATGAACCAACAATGCCTAAACCTTGGGGACCCAAATGTAATTTACCCAATTCTTTAAATCACTATGTATCCCAGGATTGAGACATGATTCCAATACCAAACCAATGCATATAGGTTGATGAACAAAGAGAGGATAAAGAAGGGATTCACATACACAATTGGTTCCATAGATAGCACCCGATTGGCCTCACCAATATTTTCTTTTATTTGATATCAATGTTCAATAATCAAAATACAAACCATCAATCCCTTGAAAACAAATAGTCCTATCAAAAATTAACTTGAATGATTATGGAAAGAGCAAAGAGGTCAAGGACAAGCAAGAGTGCTAGACCAGCACTCCTTCCTACGATTAGACCAGACGGATCAAAGGGCTTGTGTGCACCTGCACGGGGCCAATTGAATAGGAGTGTTTGAGTGGAGTCGGACGACTAATTTGCATTGGGCTGAAGGCTAGCTCGATAGGATAGGAGGAGATTTCTGCTATTGTCCTTGAATCTTGCTGCAACCCTAAAAACATTTTTTTCCTATTGTCGTGCCTTCATTGCCAACCTTCACTTGTGGTTTCTATCCTATCTATAACCAATGTAGCCTTCATTGCTGCCCTACTTAATATATCCTTCATTAGTACCCTTTGCTACCGCAATATCTGAAACTAATTTCTCTTAGAATTTTAACCAAATGAAGGACTCTATGATGCACCAAGGGAATTAATAACTCTACTTTTGTGATTAATTACCAAGCTGGAAATGACAGATTTGTATTCCCCAGCTTAAGGGGTAGTGTTAAAATCTCAGTCGTCCCTTGGCCCTTGATCTCACGGCCAGGATGGGTATCCGAGGGAGGCTCAACTGGATCACACCGATCTCCTTCCATATCCCGGTGGATAATTAAGGAAGGATTATATCAAGGCAATTATGCATGATTATGTAGTTATTTATTTTTTTATTAAGACATCTTGTATAGATCTATAAATAGGAATAATTTTGTATAATAAAAAAAAAACTTTTTCCCTCTAATGGTATCTGAATTTAACATATTATGTGAAAAACATTGCACTATAAAGAATGGACATGTAAATAAGCATTTTGTAGCCATGTTTAACACTGACATGAAGAGCCTGATGTTCCACACACACACACAAAAACTGATGATTTTTTTTCAAAAATTAGAGTGAGTTGAAGCTGAAACATGCCCCAACATAGATGGGATCCTCATTGACATGAACAAAAGACATGCAAGAAGAGAACAAATTGTAGAACATCAATGGGGTTGCACTCATTACAATGGATGGCGTCGTAATGCTTGAAATTGCCAATCTATCTCACTTAATGACCTAGGTTTACAATGTGCAATTTTTCTCAATGCTGATGAAGAAACCATTGAAGCTGGGCATTGGTTCTAGTGGTGATGATAAATGTGGTGCCAACTTTGTTGGATCTAATTATATATACATCAAAAAGTTCATATTTGTATAGTTATTTTAGATATTATAAGCTCTTTTTAGTTTTTTGGCATTGTGTACACAATATGATGTTGATATTGACAAAATCAATCTAATGATTAGTGTTAATGATATTGAGTTGATAATAATTAAGTATATTTATAAATATTGAATATAATGATGATTAAAATATTTTTTTATGATCCTTAAGCCTTTTGTGTGATGCATATGATAGTATACTTCATTGTGATATGCTTTTAATAGAAAATATTAATTTAATGTGTTTTGATTACACATTATATTAATAATTTAGAAAATAATATTGCTGTCATGGTTTGCTATGTTCTACTTTTTACGATCATAACATATCCCCAATTCCATGCTTCGTACTGCTCTATAGATTGTATGAGTAGCATCTATTGAATATTAGCAGAAAGTGGTTTGAGAATGTACAATAGAAAGTAGAGAATGCTTTGATAAAAAAATGTAGATAAATTTAATGTCAAATAATTGGGAAGGCAATAAATTAAACCAATATAACATAGATTAATTTTTTAGAAACAAAAAAAAAAATTGAACAAAGTAGATTTAACACCTCAAACAACACCAACAACACAACAACATCAAGCCTTTATCCCACTACGTGGGGTCGGCTACATGAATCCTTTTTCTCCATTGTGTTCTATTAAAAGTCAAATTCTCATTTAAACCTAATAAAGAATGAGAAATGAGAATTAGAAAGCCAACCCTAAGCAATCAAAGTAAGGTTACTACTTTTGTAAGTATGCAAAAGAGCATAGCAAGTTGAGGCTATGATTAAAAGAAAAATAAATAAATTGAAGGCCTGAAGTCAAAAGATCAATTATTTTCCTCAACTTTTGGAAAATACTACATTTTTCAAATAGGTCACCAATCAACAAAAGTTACCTCTATATATGATGCAGCAACATCAGAATGTTTCTCATTTGTCCTTGCAATGAAAATATCCCAGAAGACAGACCACCATTCAAATAGGAAACCACCAGGAGCGTCAATTGCTGTAATATAATATTCATGCAAAGAGTAAAAGAACCTGACTTCATATATCTTTGTTGTTATAGAGGCAGCAGTACTTACCAACAGGATCTGAGGAAACCTTTCCCTCAGCTTGAAAAGCCTTTGCAGTTGAATGCAAGTTCCTCTTCATAAAATAATCATAAATGTAGACATCAAGCCTATTTGAAACATATAATATTCAATTAAAATTATAAAATATATCGTGTTGCATCATAAATTAAGAATCATTAGCAATCCAAAGAAAAGAAAATCAAACTAACACTTAGAGCCGGAATTGCAACATAGAACTCAAAATTCAAACTAGAATATAAACAAATAATGAAAAATGAAAATAACAATTAAGAGTAAAAGTTACAGAATTTCATTAACCGTATCAAGCAAAATGGCCAATTAAGCATGCAGAGGAAATTCCATTAAAAAAAAAAGGAAATCAGAGGAAGAGCATGAATGAAATGGCTAGTAAACTTTTAAGGTGCAAAATTACCAATACGACAGCATCAAACAGTAGAAATTGTTCTTATTAAACAGGTACTCCAAAACAGAAGCTTCGACAGAGACAAAGCATAACAATTAACAAGCAACAATGAGCTTATAGTAGATAACAAATCTGATACCGATAAACAATGGATAAACAAGGAACTGGTTATTATCAAAAAAAAAAAGCAGCAGGAACAAATTGTAAAGAAACGGAAATCAAAGATCATACAAGTACGTTACAAAATACAGTTATAAGAATCTATAAATAAAAAACAATAGTTCAAGTTAAAAAAAAAAAAAGTTAACAATGCTGACAGTGGCATTAACAGAGTGAACTCCAATGAAAGCAGAAAATAAACGAAGAACACCCAGACGAAAAACTAATGAACCCCACACCAATAAAAAACAGAAAACAGAAAAACAACTTCAAGAAGGAGGAAAAGCCCTGGATACCAAGGCAGCAAAGCTCACATCTTATCTGCTTCCCAGTTGGTTTGCGACATGGTTTCCACCAAATAAAAACCCTAACAACGAAACCCTAACTTTCTCAATCGGATTCTAGCAATGAGCTCGAAATCCCTACATCGTTTCTTTCTCCCGGCATTTTCTTTATCGAAAACGCTAAAAAAAGGAAGTATAAATATTTCCACCCGCAGCACAATTACTTTTTTTATCCTCCTCTATAAAACCAGAGAGTAAAACAAAGGTGAGAAGAACAGAAAGGCCATTATAGTGCAGAAAGGGAAAGGTAAGAAACTGATTGAGTATCAGATTTTATACATTTATGCCCTTCCAATAAAGTTTTTTTTTTTTTTATTGAGTGTCCCATATTAGAATTTTTTGAATTAAAAAGACATGTAAAATAAAATAAATATGGTGTAAACATTTTAATTTATTTTTAAGTAAAAATTTTAAACAAGAATGGTTTATACCCTAAACAAATTTGTCTAATGGCAAATAGAATTTTTTAATAAAGGAGTGACCATTTTGATCAAAACCCCTAAGAATCTCATTAGGGAGGAGGCCTTTGATTATATTACAAGAAACTTAGCAATAACCTTATTGGTGACATTACATAAAGATATATTTCTATAATATATTAAGGGTATGGAGTGAGCAATTTTGAAAATTAATGTAACAAAATAATGCTTAGTTCTTTCACGCATGTGGGCAATGGGGTGAATATATATATTTAATGGTAACAATAAAGTAGACCAAGTATCCTTAAAAATTTTAGAAGTCAAATCATCGGGAGCCATAGTCTTATCATGATCAATAGAGAAAAGAGCCTCTTTGATATCATCATTTATATAAATGTTTTACAGTGATAATTTGAATAGTCCTATAAAGTTCTCAGGACCCATTAAGCCATTAAGCCATCTTAACCCAAATGACCTATATGAACTAGGAAATGACCTTAATCAACATCCATAACAGCTTCCTAATTTTTTCCATCTGCCACCTCAGCAGTCAACAAGATCAGGTGACCAGTCAACACTTGGTCAACAAACCTTAAAATGCCCAAATGGCTTGATCCAAGCTAGCCCAATCCCTACCAAATCACTCTAGACCCTCTTTGAGGTCACTCCTTGCCAACTCAGCTGCCACCTCACTCATGTTTGACTGATTGACCAGTCAAACAGTCAACATGAGGCTTTAGAAGGGCTAAGGGTGATTAAATAAATCCTTTGAGCCAATCCACTCAATCCAAAATCAATCCAGCAGATTAGTTAAGGTCTAGAAGCTTCCTAAGACTAATCTTAGCCTTTAGATTTAAATCCAAAGGCCCACGTTGCTCCACATGTGCTCAAATCAAGACAAAACACCCTTTCCATGTAGGATGTCCTTGATCCGTCCTTGGCTTCTGCTCCC